GGTTTTAGAAGTTAACTAAGTCACTGTTTCCAAAAGTTGATGAATAGCAGAACCATCTGAGGAACAATGTTTATTTTAAAGATTATAGCCTTATTCTAAAGTTCTAGAGATTCTGATCCAAACTTTGGGTACAGTCCCAGCATTCATATTTATGATCACTGCCCCAGATCATTATATTGTAGCAGGGCCATGGTCTGAGATCCACTGATCTAGTCAACATCCTACCCAACATGGCGGTCTCTTTACAAGACACCATAGACAGGGTATCCAGGTTGTATTGTAATACTTCTAAGAGACTGGGACACTCACCCCTTTATAAGTCTGCATGTTCCACTTTTATATGGCGTTCATGACTAGAAACTGTGTTCTTATGTTGAGTCAAAATAACCAAAGTCGTCCTCGAACTTCACTTAATATTGGTCCTAATTTTGTGCTCCAAAGCAAACACAGAATTCTTTCTTCCCATAAGTGTCTTCTAATTTCTGAAGGTACCTACTGCCTCCATACAAGTCTTCATTTTCCTGCGCTTAAACAAGCTTTTCTTTTAATAGCTTGAGGTCCCTCACCATTTCAATTGGTCTTGAGAATAAGTCTGTCTAGTATAGGCTTCCAGATCTCATACTGTTTAGACTATAATTGTGTATAGTTTGACAATGGTCTTTCTAAACTAAATGGTGTCTCCAAAATCAGACACAATATCCAGCCTGAGAAAGTCTGCCCCCAAAGACATGGACTTCTACCTCAACAACTAAGCTTTGAGGAAAAATTTTTGTTGGTGGAGGATGATTAGTTATAAATTTGTTTTTTATTTTAATCTTCTAATTAAAAGGGCTTCTTGTTTTTACAAACTTGTATTTATTTTAAAGCTCCTTCTGCTTATCTTCTGTAATCCATAAGTCGGCCTGAAGTAATACTTTATTTTTTGCACAGACTGATTTTTTTCTAATATGTCCTTACAGTCTGTGTTCCACCCTTGTCACTGATTTCCTTGCATTTGATGGTCCAAGAGCCGAAAGTCAGCAAATATTTATTAGCCCACTGTTATATTACTGTTGTTATTAAATGCCATGGAGTCCGTTCCAGCTCAGAGCGACCATATATACGGTTTCTAAAGCTTTGTGGAGAAGAAAGTCTCATCTGTCTCCCACAGAGCAGCTAGTGGGTTTGAACTGCCAACCTTGCGGTTCCCAGTCCAATGGAGCCACTGTACTCCTGCTGCATCACCAGCACTGTATTTACATGCAAGTAAATACAGCAAGTACTTACATGAGGAGAATTCCAAAACAGAACTTGTGCCATTTTGTGAAATTAATAATATCTGACAGAAACTACTCTGGAAGGGACCACATTAGAAGGTCCTGGATAGAGCGTTAGAATATGAAACAAAATTCAAAATCATAAAATAATAATAATAGTAATAAAGACCAGGCTTACTGCTCAGAGCCTACTGGAACTTCCAAGACTATGGTGTGGAGTCCTGGTGTGGTGCTGCAGGATAAGCACTGGGCTGCTAATGACAAGGTCGGCAGTTCAAACCCACCAGCCACTCCTCGGAAACCCTGTACAGGATCCCTATGAGTCAGACCCAGCTCAACAGCACTTAACAACAATAACATAAGGTGAACAGTAACATTAGGGAAGTATGCCTTAGAAAAATCAACCATTTGAGATCAAGGACTTGCCCAAGGAAAACTTCAGAAGGCACAAGAGTTAGGAAAGAAGGAAGAAGAAGGGGAACAGGAAACACATAGAGAAGATGGGATAAGTGATATTTCACTGTGGGGTTTACAATCAATGACATGAAAAATGTGTATGAATTGTTGAATAGAAAACTGATCTGTTCTTATACCTTCACTTAATTCACAATTAGAAACTTAAAATATAAATTTTTTAATTTTTTTTTTAGTTTGGGCAGAAGACAATCTAAATGACTGAGACCTTCTAAAATCTGGACACTTATGAAGTACATCAAAAGATTGCACTAATAGAGAAAAAAGAGAATCCACAGAATGAGAAAAAAATGTTGGCAATGACATATCAGACAAGGGACTAATTTATAAAATTTATAGAAAACTTCAGGAACTTAACAATGAAAAAATGGGCAGAGGACATGATCAGACATGTCGACAGGTGGCTAACAAACATGAGGAAATGCTTACAATCATTAGCCATTGTTGTTGTTAAGTGCTGCTAAGTCGGTTCCGACTCATAGCGACCCAATAATCCCCTACTTGCTATGTAACCTAGAGAAGTAAGTGTCATGGCATGAATACACACACACACCCCTATATTCATTGCAACACTATTCAAATTAGAAAAAAGATGGCAACAACTCAAATGCCTATCAATAGAAGAATGGATAAACAAACTCTGATATACGTGGAGTACGACACAACATCTCATAACATGGATAAACTGGAGGGCATTATGCTGACTGAAACTGGTCAACCACCAAAGGAAAAATACTGTATGAGCCCACTATTATAGAATGGCAAGAAAAGGATTTCACACTGAAAGAAGCATTCTTTGGTTAACAGGATGGGAGGGAAGGGGGTGTTAATTCGCTGGCTAGAGGGTAGATGTGTTAACTTGTTGTGAAACATACAGCAATAACATAATAAGAAGGCGATTAGCAAAACCAGGATGGGCAGAAGAAGACCCGGGGAGGACAAGTGCAACAGTTAAAGTCAACAGAGGTAAATACTGTTACATACACAGTCCTGTAATAATTGTGAGCTACGGATACATGCATGGATAGGCATGCAGGTTGAATGGGTATAGAAGGGAGCATAAGAATATACCCACAAATTCATATAGGTTTGGCAAAAGATTATTTGTATGTATGGATACGTATGTATCTTTGCTGCAAATATGTCCATGAATGTGGCAGAGCATATAGGGGACAACATTATCAAATCTTTGTAGATATAACCAAACACCTTAAGGAAATGAGTCACGGAGTCTTGAGCTTCAGGACCATAGTCCAGGGAGCATTAATTAAGGTCAATGACATAACACAGTCCACACAAAGATAACATCTACCATGGTATGCAGTGACTAGAGTCTTAAAAATTAAGTGGCCATCTTAGGTGCATCTAGTGGTCTCTCCCCATCCAGAGAGAAGACTAGCAATAAAACCTGAAGAAACCTGGAAACAATTAGTCCAGTGAACATCAGTCTCCATAACCCCTGAGATCACAAGAACTAGATGGTGCCCAGCTACCACTACTACCAACTGCTTTGAAAGGGATCACATTTAGAAGGTCTTAGAATAGGAGAAAAATGTGGAACAAAGCTCAAAATCATAAAGAAGACCAGGCTTACTGTGAACCCTAGAGACTCTATATCCTTTGGTTATCGTACAGGTGTAGGAGAACTGAACTCACTCCTCCCCTAGCTCAGTCTGCAGCCAAACAACAGATGGTTTATACGGGGTACAGTACCACTACTGAGGTATTCACACCTTACAATAATAAACCATTTGCGATCAAAAGAGCAGATCAAAAGACAACGTTCAGAAGGGTTAGAAAAGGAGAAGAAATGGATACAAGAAACCCTAGGAGGCAGTAGGATTAAGTGATATTTCATTGAAGGGCGTGCAATCAATAATATGAAACAAAAAGTGTGTGAGTTATCAAATGTCAAACTGATGATCAGCTCTGTAAACCTTAACCTAATTCACAATAAAAAATTTAAAAAAAAAAATTTGGTAGAGGAAGAATTTACATAAAGGAAATAAGACAATACCCAATCAAGTGCTTCAAGTGACAGTCACATGGAAGACCGAACACCTGGATTATCTGGGTCACACTGTGAGTAGCCTCATGGCTTCTGTCTTCAGGCAATCTACTTAATAGCAGTTAAAATAGGAATTTCAAGAGCATGCTACTTCAGAAATTTAAAATGAGAAGCTACACATGTGAACATCAAATAAACCACTGATCCCTTCTAAGCATGCCAACAGCATTGCTTCCTGGGTGTTCTAAATGCCATGACGCAAGGTAAAAGCGAGACATAGAGGGTTGGTGTGACTCCTTTTGTTCTTGGAAATATCCCACAGGATAAGGAGATGCCAGCTATTTTAATGGAAAACAACTGAAAAATGAATTGACCTAACAGCAACAAAAATGCATTTGCTTCATGCACGGTATCTAAGTCTATCAGAACTTTAGCAACTCAAGTTGTTGTTGTTAAGTACTGTTGAGTCGGTTCTGACTCATAGTGACCCTATATTGGGTTTCCAAGGAGCATCTGGTGAGTTTGAACCACCAACCTTGCAGTTCTAACTGACCTTGTGGTCCAGTGCTTCATCCCACAGCACCCCACCATGACTCGAAACCCCTCACTTTTAGCTGAATGGAAGGCAGGTGATTTCCAAGGTTGGTCTCCTCTAATGTCCACTGCTTCCAGTTTTCTCTTCTTTAACATAGGCCAGTCAACACCCTTACTTCTCAACATGTTTTGCATCAACTATATTTCCATCTTTAGTTACCAGCCCAATTTTCAAATCCAAAACCATATGGCACACTTTGTGGATATTTTGGAAAGAAGAGTAGATAGAACTGCATTAGGTGCTTATGTTATTATTATTATTCAATCTTAGAATACCTCTTTTATCCACAATCTGTTACGAACACTTCTTTGTTGCTAGACTCAAATTTCCAGCTGGCTCAAGATTATTTTACAAGGAGGGTTCAAAAAGTTCATGGAAAAAAAGAATTAAAAGATAATGGAATTTTTCCATGAACTTCTTAAATTCCCCTCGAATATGTTTCAGGAACCACTGGAGTTAATTAATTCAAATGAAAACTCTAAAGCTGCAAAGCAACCAGTAAATAGTTCCCAACTACCCTACCTTCTTTGTATATATATATTATACACTCACACACACACCTACGTCCCCGGTTCCCCAATCAACCAGCTCATCTATCGTATCTGAAGCCTCACAATTATTCGACACCTTTATACGGAACACAAGAAGGAGAGCGGAATAAACCTACCTTGTGGCTTCCTGCTGCAGCCAGGACACATTTGGCACATAGAACATGACTCCGAAGAAAAGCAGCGGCTCATTAGCAAATTTGTCCAGATGTTTCTTCAGAGGTTTTTCCAACTCCACCCATCGTGCTTGCTGGCTCTTGCTGAGAAACCAAAGGCCAAAGTAGTGTGTCTAGATAAAAGGATGAAATAGCATCAGTTCATGACTTACAAGGAACATCTCAGACCACACAGGAAACAAGGATTCAGAGCCTTATGTCAACTTTGGTTCCCCAGGCCATATACAAGAATCCAGCTTTTACTTTCTAGTTTTGGAACAAATGAAAACACACACACACATACACACACACACACACAAAAAAAAAACTATATTTACACAATACAGTAATCTACAATCATACCCATTACCATATTCATATGTACACTTGTACATATACTTGGATACAGGCTCTACTGAGTCCAATGGTACCTTTGTTGGGTAACGGGGTGTGCAGGGTGTGGTGTGTTGGTTTTTTCTAAGATTGAAAGGCTGACTTTCCCCATGTGCCTTCCAAATGCCTTATGATCTCACATGGAACATGCTGGCAAAGCAAACACAGTTCCTGCACCTGCTACAAAGTAACTTATTACTCAACCACTAAAACCAAGCCTCTGCCAACTGAAGGCTCCCACACTGGAGAATATTTTCATACAGTACAAGATTGTACAGAAAACATAGTCCCTCTTTTTGATCACGAATGACAGCCTTCAGAAAAAACATCACACTCAATCATTTTATTATACATGAACTGCTGTAAATCTCTCCCTCATCTCAGGCTTCAAGAATGGAAGGATCTCCTCTTTGCAGCTGCCATGGAACCTCTGGGGGCTGTTCTTGGAAGATTATGGTGGGATTTGATAGATGAAAGTTGAGATTTTCACCCTTAGAGTCGAAGTCTCAACCAGTTTAGTTGTGAACAGCATGCTAAATGATTGAAATGAGTACTTTTATGTTTCCAATCCCATCTTTCTATTAATTCGTGCTAGGATTTAAGGATTAGTACAACAATCGTCAAAAAACAGATCACTGTGATTAAAGCACTCTTTTATATTTCAATTATAGCCTAGTATCGGTTTACAACACACCTGGAAATGTGCCTTCAAAAGGATCTTTCTATTACAATGTTTAATTTCTAAAGGCATTCTTCTGTCATGTTCCCAAACAGACCAATCCCTGCCACAGCTCTAACCAGTATTTTTAATCCAGTTTTGACTCTGGCTTTATTAGAGAAAACCAGACATGTCCTTGCTTACATAAGACTGCAGACCCAAATGCCTTAAAGGGTATTTTCAAATGGATTTACTTTCAGATGGGAGCAAAGATATGATCAGTTTTCCTCCATGATGCTCCAAAGGGCACATTTACATAAAAAATAAATGCATTTCTCAAGCAGCAAACTGTCAACATGCACAGTCAAGGCCATATTTCTATCAATTTAGACAAACTTGGTTGAGTGAAGCCTGATCCTATCGTTTGCCCCTCAGCTTGAGTGACTCCATTTCAGTTGTTCCCCGATGACAATGATATGAAGAAAATGTGGCTGAGTAGAAAGAAAACGGGCTTTGGAGTCAATTCGTTTCCCAGCTTTTTATAAGGAATTAACCTTCCTTGGCTCTCAGAGCTTTCTCATCTGTAAAATGGGAATGGTAATAATTATCATCTAAAAGGCCGATGGGGTGTAAATGGCATAATGCTCTGCAATCTTGTGTGACTCAGGACCACTACATATATAGTTCTTCCTCCTCCTGCTACTGATAATATTCCTATTACTACCACCACACATATCTGTAAGGTTTTCAAATGACATAATACATTGGACTAAACTTTTGCAAAAGACATTTTGAAAGTGATAAAAGAGGAAAGATGTCACTTTGAGAAATAAAGTGTGCCTGATTCAAACCATAAATTTTCCATCACCTCATGTACATACAAAAGCTGGACAATAAATCAAGAAGACTGAAAAAGAATTGATGCTTCTGAATATTGGCACTGGCAGAGAGTATTGACTATACCAAGGACTGCTAAAAAAAAAAAAAAAAAATGACCAAATCTGTCAAGAAGTCAAGTGAGAATGCTCCTGAGAAGTGAAGCTGGCAAGGTTTCATCTCACATACTTTGAACACGTTATCAGGAGGGGCCAGTCCCTGGTGAAGGATATCATGCTTGGTCAAGTGGAGGGTCAGGAAAAAGAGGAAAACCCTCAACAAAATGACCTGACGCAGTGGCTGCAACAATGGGCTCACACATGAGAATTGTGAGGTTGGCACCAGACCCCGCAGCACTTTTTCTATTGCATATAGCGTTACTGTGAGTTGGAACTGACTCGATGGCACCTTCCATCAACCCCCACCACCATCACTGTCGTCATCACCATCATTGGTAAATGAACACAGACAAGCCTCAAGAATCTGTTTATCAGCATTACTGATATCCCTAGGAACTAGGGAATTAGAAAACAGAGGAAGTAAGTGAGGAAAAAAGAGAGAGAGAGCACGAGCAAAAGGAAAGTTGGAAGACATAAATGACATCAAAATCAATAAGGTCTTATGAAAATCATCATTACAAAGGAATACTAGCCCTAAGATTTTCTTGAGAATTTCATTACAGGTGTTTATGAGACACTAGACCATCAATCTGATTGATGCTAACCTAGGGGATCGAAGAAGCAAGCTTGCTGTTGGTAAATGCCATGCAGCCAATTCTGACTCATAGTAACCCTCCTTGTAGGGTCTCAAAGCACTGGCTGGTGAATGCTTAGCAATCCAGAGCTTATCCTACAGTGCCACACTAGGTCTCCGGCTAACCTTAAAATGAGGGAATCTACAGTACTTAATTTGGAGTCCTGGTGTGGTACTGTGGGTTAATGTGCCAGACTGCAAAGCCGGTGGTTCAAGCTCACCAGCTGCTCTCTGACACCCCATACAGGGTCATTATGGGTCAGAACCGACTCAATGGCATTTAACAACAAGAGTGCTTAATTTACCCATGTAAACTATCACTTAATTCACAATAACAACTTAAAAAGGAAAAAAGAGACACAGGGAGATATGAATGGGGTAAGGAGATAAAGGTAAACAGTGATATATTGTTGTTGTGAAGTGCCGTCGAGTCAGTTCTGACCCATAGCGACCCTGTATAGGGTTTCCAAAGAGTGAATGGTGAGCTTGAACTGCTGACCTTGCAGTTCAAATGGCTCTGCAGTCTGACACATTAACCCACAGTGACAACGTTTTAACAACAGTGTTCTGTGTGTACATACATGGACCTGAGACATAGGCTGAATGGGTGAGGGAGGAACAGTGGGGGATATACATATATATATATATATCCCAGAAGGAGCTCTGGTACCGCAGTGGTTACGAATTGGGCCGTGAACCACAAGGTCAACAGTTCAAAACTACCACCTGCTCCATGGGAGAAAGATGAGGCTTTCTGCTCCTGTAAAGATTTACAGCCTCGGAAACCCTGTACAGCGTCGCTATGAGTCAGAACCAACTCCATGGCACATAACAACAACATATTCCAGAGGATATTTACACATCAATAGTTACCTTTCCTGAAAACAATTATAAATGTGGTGGAGCATACAGCAGACAAAATGATGAGAATTTCCTAAACATTATCGAACTTCCTAGGGCAATGAGTTTATGGGCCTGGGGGCTCAGCACCATAATCTCAGTCATCACATAGTCCACAAATACAACGTTTACACCCTACTTGGGTGGGTAAGCATCTTGGATCTGGAAGGCTCATGAGTGGTCATCTGAGGCACATCTCTCCATGTATGGAAGAAAGAAGAGCGGAAAAGGCTTGGAATCTATTAATCCAAAGGACTAATGGAACATGAGAACATCAGTCTCCATGACTAAGACCAGAAGAACTAGATGGTGCCTGGCCACCTCTACCAACTGCCCTGACAGGGATCACATTAGGGGGTCTTGGGGAGAGTGGGAGAAAATGTGGTGGTAAAAAACAAAAAGCCTCAAAATGATTGAATAATAATAAAAGACTGCAGACTGTAGGAACCTGCGACTGTGGTCCTCAGCCACTTCCCTCAGGTTAAGTGGAAAAGAACTCACCCTCATAGCCTAATTTTCAGTAGATAAGCTTACAGCAGGAGCCAACAGCACTAGTAAGGTATGCTCACCATGGAATGATCAATCACTGAAATTCACAGGGGCAACATTTTCCTAAGGACAAAGTAGAGAAGGGATGGGAAGGTGGGTGGAATGCAAATAGGAACCACAGGGAGGAAGCAGGATAACTGTTGTGGCAGGGAGGGGAATGTAATCTCTGAGATGGAACACAATGTATGACCTGTTGATCTGTACATGATCACGTAAAGTTGATGATCTTGTTTGTAAACCTTTATTCAATTCACAGTAAAAAGATGGACCCGCCCCCCGCCCCCCCTCAAAAAAGATACTTAATTTAATAAATTTGTCTGAAAAGGATCCAAAGCAGTTGTGTACAACACTGAATTCCTCTCTGGAACACTGTGCCATATAAGGGTATTCCACTGTATTCTGAATGGCTTAGAGTCACTCTGTATATAATGAGATAATATACGTAAATTGAAACGTGCCATATGAGTTGTAAATGTTGGAATAGAGTCTTGGTACAAGCATGTGTAGAGAGAGGGGGCAAGCTTCAAAATTGCTAAGTAGAATAATCATGATTGGGCTAATACGTCAGACTGCAAAGTCGTTTGAAATGCAAGGTCGGTGGTTCAAGCTCACCAGCTTTTCGTTGGAAACCCTATACAGGGTCGCTATGGGTCGGAATCGAGTCTACGGACCTTAACAACAACAATTATCTTTTCACTGAAACGTGGTTTTGACATTTGGAGGATTTCTTTTTTTTTTTTTTTGCCCATACTTCACTCAATTTATAACATTCATTCAAATTAGTGTCATTTGTCCTGGTGCAGTGCTGTGGATTAATGTGCTGGACTGCAAAGTTGGTTTGAACCACAAGGTTGATAGTTCAAAGCTCACCAGTCACTTCTTGGAAACCTTATACAGGGTCACTGTGGGTTGGAACCGATTCAACAGCACTTAACAACAACATATAACAAAGGTTTAACAGTACCTGTATGAACATTCTACAATTGCTTAGCAAAAAAATAAAAA